TGGAATTGATTCCTGAATTTATCAAGAGAGCCAGAAGAGGCAAGCAATTTCATTGATGAGTCAATTTTCTGAAGCTTGTGCCAACCCTGTCACGCTGGCAGAACCTACTTTATATTTCTGCAATAATTTCAGGCTGATTTTGTACTCTCTTACAACATTTTTGCTCTCAATTCAACTGATTTGTCGAACCCAACCACAGGTAAAACATTTTCTGAAACGACTGCGTCATAATTTCAGACTCATTTTAGGCTCCTGTTGCCCCCAATCACCAATATTCTATGCATGGCTTTTTAAAAAAATCTATCGGTTCTGTTAACTTCGCCGTTGAGCTTTTTGACTTCACTTTCAGGTTCATTTTAGGCTCCTTCCTCATCCTATTGATTAATTTTTTTCTTGTCGTTTGAATTGAATATTTGGGCGACTACTCAAGCACGCACGTTAAAAACGATAATATTTTTTGGAAACATTTATGAACGGAGTGAAAGATATTGAAAATTGAATTGAAATTCGTCACCTTCTTAAAAATTTCAATCGTGCAATAATTCCAGAATAATTTTTGATTCATTCATTAAGCTATTGTTCCATTGAATTGAATATTTGGGTGACTACCTCAGCACAGGTGGTAGGGTTGAAGTAATCTTTTTGGAACAATTTTACGAGTGTGGCAGAGAAATATATATATTGAAAAGTTTCCTTCCTTCGCCATATTTCCATGAGTTTATTGAAAAAAAAATCGTTGGGTCCATTATTGGCTGTTTGATTACGCTTTCGAACAATTCGTTGCTTAAGTGAAGGATTTCGATTCGGTTTTACCACCTTAAAGTTAAAGCTATCAGAACCCACTAATTTTTTCAAAAACCAACTCATGGAATATCGGTGATGGGCGAGTCACAGGAGCCTAAAACTATTTTTAGTGAAGGGACCTCAAATTTTCCAAGAAGTAAAGGCTTTCGATTTAGTTGTGTCAACTTAATTGTGAAGATAGCAGAACCCACATATTTTTTATGAAAGCGACGCAGAGAAAATCTACAAAATGGACATTCTCGCATCGCATCAGGAGGGGATGTTTGAGGTCAGGGCTGTGGAAGACTCTTTAGTGAGTTTTGCGCCATTCGTCCGGCTTGCATACTTTTGAATAGATACAAGTGCTGAACTCCAACCAGGTCTAAATTAATATGCTACTTCAGTCTCATTGAAAGTGCATTGAATTTTGTTCGGGGGTTTTGGAATAGGTATTTTGATTTTATACAATAACTTATCGGGGTGGACTGAGAAGTTCTCCATCATTTAACAAAAATTTCGATTGTGGAAGGTGAAAACACCAAAAAGATCGATACAGGTATTCTTACACTATTTAAAAACAGCCAGAATTACCACAACTAACACTCTTGACAGCTTCAACCAGCCATAGTTTGTCCTGAATACAAATGAATGGCTGGAAAAGTAATTTCTCATTGCTCGGTAATGAAATATTCAATTTTTATTGAGAAAATGTAATTCGCCATGATTGAAAGAAGTAGATAAACTGTATATTCATTTACAGTTAATGAAACATTCATTTGCTTCCGGCGTTGATACATTCTCGAAAAATCTGAAATGAATATTTGCCACCAATATATTTTCGTGCTCGGAGATAAATGCGTAGAAGCTATTTTCCGGTTTTTTCCGTGTTCTGCAAGTTTTTATCTCTACTACTGCGAAAGTATCAAAGGCGATATAGTAACGGTCGCTGCATTATAAATCTGTAATATGCTTTCAAAAGGCCATATTGATCTAAATTGAATGTGAAATGTATTTAAGGTACCTAATCGAAGGAGGATTTATGCTTTTCTATCATACTAGTTTACAGCCAATTTGTGACTATAATGCCAAAGGCGGTTCTTTGTTAATATTTGGACCCAAAATGCGACAATGATAGTAACAATTTCTGAACACGTGAGATGTTTGAGTTATGACTTTTCTGAATAAATTTAATGAACACGACATTCCAAATTTGCTTTTCCCCTAAATTGAAGAAATTGTTTAAAATCTGGCAACAAAGCGTCTAAAACAACTTTAAAAGCCGTTCTGCTCCATATAGGGGAATGTTCCTCAATTTCGGTTATTACAGCAAATGCAAGTTTGAACAAAATAAAGTTGAGTTCAATTCATGAGTTTTCATATTCACTTCGAAAAGTATTCAAATTGATGTTTCAAATGTTGGGTTTTAATTTTTTAGGGATTTGTTTCTAATTCACATACTGGCAACAGCGCCTAGAACTTTACCTGCCATTCCTGAAAATATTTCACCTTGCATATAATATATCAAGTTGAAATAATTCATACGTACCTAGATATTCTACTTTAAAAAAGGAAAATTATCTTTATATATCAAAAATTGAGGCGAAATATAAATTATAGTTCAATAACACCTCCACAAGCCACATAAACATAAACGTTGTTTTGTTATTTATTTATATAGAGGAAGATAGGTTAGGTGCACAAAATGTCATATGTCAAAGAATGTCTTGGAACTAGGAACATAAGTAAACAGAACAGAAATATGTCATCTTTGTTTGTCTGATTTAGGTAACAGATTCATTGTCCTTTATTAGCTATAACCGATGTTGCCAAATGGTGAAACAGAAACGAATCCTTTCAAATGTTGAATGCATTATTTCATTCCTCTTTTTTAGGTATTTAAATAATGTTTTAAAGAAAACGGTTGAATTGATAAGTTAAAAATGCGTTGTCTTAGAGCTCTTTAATGAAAACTATTTGATTTTCGTCAGGAGGAACATTCCCCATTGTAACAAAAGACCCTCTATTCCACTTGCACATGCAGTTGCCATAAAGGAAGCACATTAAATGCGTATAAGTGGCAAATATGTGGTGACCTGAAAGTCATAGGACTATTACCAGGTCTTCAGGGCGGATTTACGAAATTTTGCTGTTTCCTTAGCCTTTGGAACAGTAGGGCAACACAGAGCCATTATCAAGTAAAAGAATGGCTGCCGAGAGATAAATATATTCCAGGTCAAGCTAACGGTAAGAATATGCCTCTTTTTAATCCCAAAAACGTTTTGTCACCTTCATTACACATTAAACTGGGGTTAATAAAAATGTTGTAAAATCATTAGACAAAGAATGTGATGCGTTCAAATATCTTAAACGAATTTTTCCAAAATTAAGTGATGCAAAGCTCGAGGAAGGTATATTTGTTGGAACACAAAATTAGAAAACTACTAAGTGATCAACAACAACGGTTTGATCAAAAATTGAGTAATGTTGAATTAGCTGCGTCGATAGAGAAAATTACGAAACACTTGTAGATGAACTACTTGAAAACTACTACAGAATGTTTGAATTTTTTTCCAGAAAATTAGGGTGCTGTCGATGACGAACAAGGGGAAAGGTTCTACCAAGAAATACTGACAATGGAGCAACGTTACCAAGGCAGATAGGATGCAACAATGATGGGGGATTATTGTTGGTTCCTTATGAGGGAAAACGATGAAACATATTAAAGACAGTTAACAACAAACATGATTTTTCAATTTATCGTAAACCGGCACATACAGATATTATCATTCATAATTCGTCCACTCACCCATATCAGCATAAGGTAGCAGCTTTCAACAGTATGATCCATAGACTGATAAATGTACCCTTGTCAGAAGCGAATTTCAATAAAGAACTGAATATAACGAAGCAAATAGCCGTCAACAATGATTATGATAGCGGTCTGATACATTCTTTATTATCAAAAAAGTTATACAGTCAAGCTTTGGAAGAAGTTTACCCATTTCGAAGAGGAGAGGATAAAAGATATAGAACCTTAACCTACTTAGGCCAACTCACTGCAAATATTTCAGATTTTCTGCACAGCAAAGGTGTAAATACTGATTTCAAAACCAACAACAACTTAGGCATGCACATTAAAAATAACAAAGACAAAAGTTCAGTTTCAGAAAAATCAGGAGTGTATAAATTATCGTGTGGGTCATGTCCGATATTTTATATAGGTCAAACTGGAAGAACGTTCAAAGCCCGCATAAAGGAACACAAATATAGTTTTCAGAATGGAAAAATAAATTCCACATATGCCAGTTATTTATTCTCAGAGGAATATGAGTTCAACCATGAATTCATCTTATATTTCCTTATTAATGTAAAAAAAATTGTATAAAATGAAAATAACTATAACTCAAAATCTTTACGTGATGAAAAATGTTTGATATTAGTCGCAATTTTTTTTTATCTGTTGGCTAGTGTTATTATTGTTTATGTATCTGTGTGGACAAGTAGCCAAATTTTATTGATGTTCAATTCCTTTTCTTTCCTTTTGAAATTATCCCTGTTTTTGAATATTTGTTGCTTCTCTGAATACTTTCGGATAGTAGTTTTGAGTTCTATCGGGTATCACTGTATTTTCGAATGAGATAAGGTGAGTGTCTCCTTTGTTGAGAGCTACAGCTGATTTATCGGTTTGTCTGAGTCGACAATATCTCTTGTTTTCAGAGAAACGGGTACCAACACTTATTTTCGTGGTTCCAATGTAGTTACACTCGGAGTTTACCGGATTCCTTGTAGCTGCGGGTCGCTCTACAAAATTACTATCTAAGAGTATATAGACAGGCAATAGAAATTCTAAAACACGGGGATAATAACAATAAAAGGAAGAAGCAATGAACATCAATAAAATTTGGCTACCTGTCCTTACAGGTACACAAACATGGTCAGATACAAGCCCACTGATGATAATATAAACCAGAGTCAAATACCAGACTCGTAATTACCGAGTTCGGAACGAGAACAACAACGCGAGCACCAACTCGAGCACTATGACTGTAACCACACACATCGCCTTTAACAATGTCCACCGCAGCAGCAGACGAAACGCCTGGCATAAAAGCCTGCAGACCACGGCTGATAAACCTGGAAAATAGCATCCACACAGTTCTCTGTTTCTGCTAACTTTTCTCTCCCTCACTAGGTTAGCTAAAAGTGAAATAAAAATACCCTTGGAAATGAAATTTATTTTTTACAAATCATACAGCTTTCTTTCAAATCAATTCATGTTGCCAAACATTCGAAAACGACAACAAGAAACGTTCATATATCTTCGCTCATTATTTTTTCACAAACCATTCGAAATATCTTTATGCGAATCAGAGAAATGATTTTGAAACCGTGTCAATATTTTTCGCATGCATTATTGAAACGCCATAATTTCAGTCGTGTAAAATGTTTCAGGTTTCATCATTTACTGATCACAGTCGCAGTTCTGTTCATTATGGAGTCTATACTAAAGTCTTGGTGAATTGTCGTACTGGACTGGGTCGATCCTAAATTGTGGGTCAGGCTGTGCCTTCTCAAATCACAGTTTCTTCGGAACACTTTTCCACATGCTGAACAGTTATAGGGTTTGATATCGGTGTGGGTGAGGAGATGAGTTTTCAAATTCGACCTTTGATTGAATGACCGGCTACATACTGGACACTTGTGTGGAGATTCTTCCATGTGTAGTATTTTATGAACTGCCAGGGTTCGGGACTGACAAAACCCCTTTCCACATTCTGTACATTTGAAAGGCTTTTCTTTGCTGTGGATATACCTGAAACAATAGAAAAACGGTTATTCTCTTCAAACTGTAAGGCAGAGTGTATTAGTTGTACATGAAATATGAATGTACAGGGTGTAACATAAATACGTTAAAATATTCGAGTGACGTATTCCTGAGACGATTTTAAGAAAAAAGTTTATATGAAAATGCTTCGCTTCAGAGACATGGGATGTTGAAATTGAATTTTTTTGTTCGCTTTTTGAAAATGAATCTTGCAAAAAATAAGTTATTTGCACGAAATTCAGTACGCGGGGTTTTCTTGACGTGGGAAATCATAATTTCGTATTAATTTTCATGTATTATCTAGAGTGCGCTACATACGCTGTCATTATTTATTTCAAATTGCCCTAACTTTTTCGACAGTAAACTTTTGGTTCTTTTCATGAAAAAACCTAATTCCCACACCTTTTTCAAGTAAAAAAGGTACGCCTTCTCAACAACGCTGGAGGTGATCTTTTTCGAGATATTTACAATTTTCTATATCGATGCATATTACTTCTCTTGAGTGAAGTTGCTGAGGACATTACAAAAACTAAGTATGTGGTGGATCTCGTCAAGATAAACAACAAAATGTTTAACGAAGAATGATCCGTTATCGAAATACAGATAGTTGAAATTTTTCAAAACATGGTAGGTTTTTGTCATAAGTTTTTTTCAATTTTAGTTAGAAAGTGGAGAACAAGAACTATTACAACAGAAACAAGAAAACTGCATCAGTACCATGTACTACCACTCCTTCGACCCCCGTTGTTTTTTTTTCTGTTGTTTTTTCCGCTTGACAGCAACCAATGTGAGGAACCATTGTTCGAAACCATTGCTCACCGAAATGAACCAGCAGCGAACGAACAACAAGTGTGTTCTGGTCCCATTTCTGGTGAAAAGAAGGTTTTGATCAAAATATTGAAGGGCTCATTGCAGTTGATTGAAGCGCGCGTCATTCCTAAATTTAGTTATATTTTACTAATCATGTTATATATTAAGTATAATATTTTTTGAAACATTAGTTATTGTCTTTTTGATGGCATTTAGTCGTCGTTAGACAAACCTTTCCGATTCCAAATTTCGAAATCTTCAAGACCATCACCGCCTTCGTCTCCAATATTATTTCCTGTGTGCATTTCTTCTTTATCCTGAATTTCATCTGAATCATTGACTTCCTCGTAGGATTTTTTTCCACATTAGAGCATTTTTCAGAACCATGGCAATTCGAACATAAAAATGTGTATTTCGAATCATGTTTTCGGTTGTTACATCCATATTCATAGCTGCAGCAAAGAGTTTTGAGCAATATTCCAAAATTGATTCATTTTCTGTGAATTTGGGCATAATGCCAGGTTGGTGTTGCCTCCAGCCCCAATCTGTACTGTCTGTTACTATGCGAAAGTTGTGATTCACAATGGATTTGAATTGCTGGCGATTAAATTCATTTGAGAAAACGCTCTCAGGAAGTTTATTCCACATAAACGCAGTTCTCCAAATGAAAAAGTTCTTGAACAGTGAAGTTTGAGGTGTATTGAGTTAAACCTCAAAACGATGAGCAGCCACAGTCCGTCACGTATTTCTGAAGTGTACCCCTCTTGGTGGAATCAAATATACCAAGTCACTAGAGCACTTTCCGTGAAAGTATCTATAGAATCTACAACCTTTCTTCGATGTTCCAGACTATCAAGCTTGCAAGTGATATTCGTGTCTCCAATCAGGCGGATGGCTCTTTTCTCGATGGAATTTAGCAGATTTGGGGAATGCTTAGAAGCGGAGCTCCATACATGAGAACAATACTCTAAAGAAGGTCTGGTGCGCACAATTTTTCATATAAATTATCTTCAAAGGCATTTGATTTAAAAAAATCTACAACTTTCTTGAAACATTGTCTTATCAAGTATTAACATCATTAACTTACTCATTTGTTAATTATAGTAGTATATTTCGATTTATAATTTTTTTGTTCATCAATGTAACATGGAATCCTACGTTATACGAGTATTTGAAGTGTTAAGTTTAATAAATAGCTTTAGTAGTTGATGTAGAAACTTTTACATTCATGGTAAGAATTGTTTGTCGATTCCATTGTTAATGTGTCCGTAAGAAGTGAGTTGAAACCTTGTAGCTATCCATGATATGATTTAGTACCACTAATGAGATCTATGACAGATTGAAATAACGCTGTCCGATACTGAATTTACAATATTATACAAGAAGTATAATACCGGAAATGGTGAGAGCTAAGGTCGTTCAAATTTGACAAAAGTTTCCCATTTTGATAAACAAGAATAACCCCTTTTCAGATCATGAATATCAGTGTTTGTTTTTGAAATATTTGCCAGAAACTAGAACTGTCAAAATTCGTTTTTTGGCTCTACCGTCTTCATTTTCGAATGAGGAGGAACTTTCTGTATATAATCTCATATTTATTATAATCTTTCTATACTGATATGTGTTTGTGACGATGGATAAATGTGTGTGAGTATGTTTGTAGCTCTTTGACACCTGAACAACTGAACGGATTTAGATGAAACTTTACATATATGCAGCTTATATATTAGAATTACATATAGGTTACAATTCACAAAGGTTTTGTGTAAGTTTGGTCATAATATAAGTATAACGATAAGTATTATGTAACTCGGAAAAATTCTTGTCGTGCGCTGCCTATACCGTTAGAGTTACATGAAGATAATGTACCGTAAGATTATTTCATCAGTTCGGACTTCTATTGTCTAATTTAATATAATTTGTAATCCTTGAAAGAATCTGTAAAAAATCAAAAAGAATTTGTAAAAAATTAAAAAGATCAAACGAAAAATAACAATTTCATTGAACAAAAAACTGAAATTACAAAGAAATAACATACAAGCAACAACCAACCACCATCGATCGACTAAGAGAGGAATCATCAAGACTCTACTAGACCGTGCTTTCGGGCTCTGTAATACAAAGGAAGGTCTCGAAAAGGAACTAGGCATCATCAAAAATGTCCTTCAACGGGATGGTTACTCCAGAGTGATGGTAGAACAAACCTTAGCTAGAAGACAGCAGAAGCTTCACAAGGAAGAGAAGCCACCACGATCAGTACTTGTACTTCCGTACATCAGAGGATTATCGGAAAGAATAAGGATTGGGTCCAAGTATAACATCAGGACCTGTTTCAGATCTGGGAATACTATCCGTAGCAGCCTCACGAAAACCAGGCCACCAAACGCGGACTGCGATTCCAAGAATTGCATTTACCGGATACCCTGCGAGTACGGAGAATCATACATCGGTGAAACTAAGAGGCCATTGAAAGTTCACATTGCTGAGCACAAGAAACACATACACAGCGAGGAGAAACTAGCAAATCTGGAATATCAGAGCAAGTTTGGACTCATCAACAAAGCATCAAGTGGACACAAGCTGAAATCATCCACAAGGAGGAACACTGGTTTAGGAGTAAATTCAAAGAAGCCGCGTATATGTTGTCCAACATGGCATTTGGCCAAGGTAGCGTAGAGATAAGTAACATATGGAAACCTCTTATCAAGCGGAAAACGACCAACTCCCGCCAAACGGTCATCTCCCGCTAAAACCAATGAAGCGGAGAGAGAGAAGAGGGGATGGGTGAAAGCACTCGAATGACCTATAAATAGTCAGATCTTGGTGGAATAAGTCCAGTTATCACCCGAAGACGATTGTGGATACTAACAATCAAAACGTCGTGACATAACTTGGTTTGGAATCTTTCAATTTTTAATTTTCATTTCTTGTTATTTTTTACAGATTCTTTCAGGGATTTCAAATCAATTTATTTTAAATCAGACAATGGAAGTCCGAACTGATGAAATACACCACGAAACATTGTCAACCACCTTCAAACAAACGTACGTAACGTGAGATTGTTTATCTTAAATAGTTTTAAATAAAAGTCCGCGATGGCATATATCTACCTCCTATGTCGAACCCACTATATGCAAAATACTGAGCCATAAATACAATTTATTTGGAAAGTACAATGCACAATTGTAATTGTACAGTTGATACAATTCTTGTTTTAAGTATGTAATAGAGATAAATTGTGTTTCATACACAAAGTAATTGGGACGAATTGTTTGAAAATTATCACGATTAGATTAACTTGGCGCAACGCAGTAAGCCATTACGCGTCGCGTCTACTGTAAGACGATGCGCGGGGGTATGGGGGTAGTCTAAGCAATAAAGCGCCATCGCCGAGAACGCGGGCAGACGTCGATAACGGTTGTGTTAGTTTTGCGAATTTTTTTATAGATTCTAGAAGCTATTCATTACTTAGGACAGTTGGCATATTTTTTAATTACTGTATTTTTATAGTAAAAATATAAATTACCAGCTGTTGACGCTCTTATATTAAACCTAAAGCCGAAGCTACTGAACCTAGAATTTCGAAATATGCAGGTAGGTTCTTTGAATAGCGTAAATAAGCATCAAGAAAGGAAATCAGGAATGTCCACCACCAAGGGGAAGTTTGGAGTTGATAAAAAATTATTATAACCATTTGTTTAAAATAGCCTGTAACGAAACGTGCTGTGACAAAATAAATGTTATGCAGGCGAAGTCGCGGGCAACAACTAGTCTGATATAAACCAGTTTCTAATGTAACGTTTCATTCATTAGATTCCATCATCCACTTTTTTTGAATATGTACCTTTTTCTCATCGATTTTTGTACCCACTGTTAGAGTAAATTCAGCTATGTATTACAGTTCATGTGTTTCCTGACGTTTCCGAGAATCAATATTTGTGTAGTCTCCAAAAGGGATAAACCAATATTTTTTAACACACACACACCTTTTGAAAATTTGCAAGTGTTAGGACTCACACGTTTAAAGGTAAGACCTCGTTAGTCCTTAGCTCGCACAAGTTTCTCAACTTCTGAGAGTTGTCGTTCGTATGGGGGCGACAGCTGAATAACGGAAAAACAGATTTCAAACAGATTTTTTTTAGTAGATATGAACGCCTATACATTCCAGAGGTTTTTTG